GATCTTTCGTTTACTCCTCATTTTATTTTCTTATCCCTCGTTTAGGGATGGCAATAGGAAACACAAGAAACCTCACCTAAACATGTTGCATAAGTAGGTCAGTATTTGAAACACACTCAGGTTTACTCTTCATTAAATCACACTTCTTTTCTGCATACTGTAGTTCTATTGAAACCAGCAGCTGTATAGTGGTGTGAGATACCAGAGACACTGGCTGTGAATTTTGGATTAACATCAAAATAGTAAAGGATCCACTAATCCTTACTGCTTTTTGGTTTACTTTCCAATATACCACTAACACTCAGCCAAGGCAGGGTTTAGCCAAAGGAAATCTGGATTTTAAAAAGAGATTTTTGCACATCACTGTGTACACACACTGTGGAAGCAGCACAGATGTTCCCAATGTTTTATAAAGTGTAAAGTAGAGGAATTAATAGTGATTTAGCTTTATCTTGCCTGGGACATGTGGTTTGACTGCTGCGGCTTACAGTTACCCGTCACCTTAAAATCAGCATCAAAAAGAAAACTACTGAAGATAAGTGCTGAGATACCCAACAGTATGTACCCTGTGCAACAGTAATCATAGCTAGAGAAGCATGAGCTTAGATTTGTTTGAATAGTTCCAAGAGATATTTCAATCAGGAATGGATCTGCTGTCTGAATCACGGTCATCCACTGTTGACTGTGATTTCAGTTGTAATCACGTGCTTTCCCCTAAATGCATCCTCCCTTTTGACAATCAAATCCGGTCTCTCTATATCTTGAATACAAACAAAAGGTAATAAAGACCTTTGCCATAGAAGAAACATATTTATGTACTAAAAAGAGCCTTAAAATAACACGTAGGAGGAAACCTACATAAAACTGCTTTCCACTGATATAAGCTCCTGCTGTAAGAAACCACATCAGAGACACAGCTAATGCAGAAGGAACAGAAGGAGGTCTGATTTGGGATCAAAAGGTACTAGGTTTTTACACAACCCGCAGTTCAAAGCAGGTACATGTATACCTGGTGATCAGAGCCTTCTGAGCCTACAAGGCATAGATGTGCAGAGACCTGGCACGAGAAGCCAGAGGACAGCAGAGTTCAGACTGGAACAACAGAGTTGAGTGTCAGCGTCCCTGTGAGGTCCTTGTAGCAGTATGAAAGGAGCAGAGAGGAAAACACCAGCTCAAAGTCAGGTAGTGGATCTAAGACAAGCCGAGGAACAAAACAGGTTTTGATTTAGTTGTGAACTACCTTTAGTTCAGTTCAGTTCAGTTTAGTTTAGTTTAGGCTTTAGTTACTGGCCTGCTTTTTCTTCCTAATTTCATTATGTGGCTAAGAAATTGAGACCGACCACACAAATAATCCTTAAAGGGAAATGTAACAGAAAATTGAACTGATAAAACACATCCAAAATGCTTGCAGCTCTTTCCTAGGAGAGCAAAGCTCTTCAAGTAATAAGGACAAGACTCTTTTGGATCACAGATGGGAAAAATCATCTGTTTTTAAAGGAAGGTGATACCTAGTTGCATTTATTCTCAGAAGTTAGATGGGATAATTTACCCAGTTGTAGTACTGCTACAATTAATTCATTGATTCTTTTTGTTATCAGAGCAAGTTGACTTAAATTTCATTTCCTCTTTCCTCTCCATAATGGAAACAGGGATTTGAGGCTGCACTTACTGAGCCAAGCCAATTGCTTCACGTTTGATTTACAGTCGCTTTCCGAGGGCACAAAGTGGAAGTTCAAATAACCAGGGAGAGAGAAAATCTTTGTGCTCCAGTGAATAGCATATGAACACTGCTTTTTTACTCTAGAGTACCAAAAAGCAATTTCACCTCTAAGCTTCCCTCTGACTGAGCAATCTTAACTGTTTGTTTGAAATTGAATATGCCACCAAAAATATTTATTAGTACCATGAGTTTTAATGTTGATTCCAGAGGTGAAGGCTTCACATTGCAGTGCTGGCTTTGTTCATACAGAAACCTTTCAAGAGTACGTCTAGTTGAAGAAGAGACAGCCTCTGCAGTCAGTCATCTGCACTTACCAAAGTTCTTATATGATTTTACCAAGTTCTTTATATGATTTTTAATCCCCAGCTCCTCATTGGGATATAGGGATTTTATATGGTAGTTGTTTAACAGCTAGGGAAAAGCTAAGGCACAGGCTAGAGAAATCAACTGCAAGACCTGCTTTTTCTCTTGTAGAAACTGAAGGAGAAACTAACCAGGCCAGGGTAAGTGTTAGCTGACATACTCCAACAAGCTTACAAATTAGACCATCTTTTTCCAAAGCTGGTGAGTGAAGATAATCTCAGAGTTCAGTAGAACCTAGATGTTCTTCAAAATCATGCTCCATCCTGCTGCTTGTTTGTGTCTTCTACCTCTACCCTACTTGGGTGGGATTCAGGTTCACAGAGGTCCAAGCTGACTGTGGCCCATCTAGGGACCTCAGTAAGAGTGTACTGGAGCAGGTGCAAAGGTAACACTGTAATGCTGCACACAGGGGCATGCAAGCTTCCCAACCAGAAATATCAGGAAAAGACTGATAGCAGCCAAAGCCTGATAGTTACTATAGAAATGAGCATGATAGTATCAGTTCAATGACACAGAAACATTTTGCAATATAGGAGAAATAGGAGAAATTGATAAAGAACTACACATTAAATTTTATGAGAGCTTCTCAGCACGATCAAGTGAAGTTACTACTGATTTTAATTCCACTGTACTGGTATTTTAAAGTATATCAAAGCCACTGAAAATACCACTCCAGTGTTATTTTGATCACAGATAAAGTAGTGTACTGCTCTTGAGGCTCAAAGCAAGGCTGGGAGAAGGTTCTGAGGAAATGCTGTGTAAGACCAATAAAACCTTGTGAACTGCATTTCAGTGCTTCAGTCAAATCAGAAGGTTACATCCTTGCAAGTGACTTCAAGAATAATGGCAAGCCTCTTCACTGACAGTCCCAGCAAGCAGGCTCAGCCAGTCAGTCACCTCTGATTTTCTTAATGAGCAATGTGGCTTACTAGCTTCATTAGTTTTTCCAGCTCTTCTACGTATAGACCTAGTTACTAACAGTATCAAACAGCAATGTTTTTGCATTAGGCAGACTCCAGCTCATTCACCTGTAACTTGTTTGTTCTGCCAGTGCAATCAGGAAAGCCAGGCTGTTTGTGCCACTAAAGAAAGCTGCTGTGAGGCTGTCACCCCCAGTAGCTCTGGAGAACATGAAGTCTCCACTCCTTTTACAATGTCATACCAGGATCACGCTTTCAGATCCTTCCTGAGTTGCAACTTTAAGTGCGAAAATGTTCCAAAATCCAGAAACTCAGTTTCTTTTTTTGCTACCTTGGTACCAAATGGTATAAGCTGATGTCCTGTGAAGTGAGAATTTCTGATATTTTGGTCTGATATATTTGTATTTCAGGAGATTTCACGACATGTGCGGGAGTTGCTGGGGATTGAGGAGCCTGTCTTCAGCAGATCCATTGCCCTCCCATACAGAGACAACATGGGTCTGTTCCTGGAGCAAAAGTCTCGATCTGGACAGAAAGCAGATGCCCTCACTTTCTCACAGTTTGTCCAGGAAGCAGGCTTAGAGCCCTGTTCTACATTTCCTCCTTTGCCACAGGGGCAGACTGGGGTAGAAATAGATGCTCTCCTTTTATCACAGAGCACACAGACTCAGGGTTAGAGTCACACTGCAGTTCCACCTGTGTAAGAAGCCCACATGGGAGAGCAGTATACACCCTTATTAGCTTGCTATTTGTTCAGGGTGGTATAGTTTCACATTTTTCACGTTATATAAAAGGCTCTTGGCATTTTGATGACAGCAAACACGTCCCTGCATTGGCTCTTTTCTGTAAGAATTTTTTGCAATCCATGTGCTTCCAGGAACCAAATGAAGCAAAACATATAAATCAGATGTGACTTTACCACTGACGGTCTGTCTTTCATTTCTGCTTCACAGTTGATTAAGAAGACAAAAAATCAATCCTAGACACATTTTAATTTCCAGTGATTGGCAATAATTTCCCTGCTGCTCAAGTGAGTAAGTTTCTCCCAGGTGTTGGTGTCTGTAGACCGGGAACACTGCTAACCACAAACGTAAGACAAATGGCACACACAGTGTCTGGTGCACATTTGTGTTGCCTGCTGCTATCAGCAGTCTGGAGGTGCCAAGTTACAATGTAAACAACGAGTCCCTGCCCTAATCACAGAACTGATTTTGTGTGAAACAGAACCAAGAAGTGGTTTATCACAGCAAACAGTACGGCAACACAAGGCAGGAAGTGTGAAAGAATACTATAAGCTAAAGTTGGGTCCTGAGTGGATTTGGACAATATATATAGTTAGTTAAATCTTCTTTTTCCCTGAGTGAGGTATCACAGAACCTGTAAGAGCAATGGGACTTGAATTGTACAACCTCGCTGGAACACAAACTGTCACCAGCAAGGAATTGTGAGTTAAGTGTTGGTTAAAGCCTGGTTCAACTGAAAGAGTGCTCCTGACTAAATCTTCATGATTTTGTTTGGTGACAGACTTCCCTGAGATCCTACACGGGAAAGAAAAATGGGCCCCAGGTCTGTTCAGTTCTTTGGGTTAGAGCTGTACCACCACAAGTGAACTGTAATTCAGTTTTTCTGTTGGAACTGCAATAGGAACCTGGTGAAGCTGAGTCAGATCACAGGCCAAGATGTCTGTGTGACCAAAGACCAAAACCAGGCAAGATTCCAGCAGGTTTAGAAAGAAGCTGGTTTATGAAGAAAGTTTCACAAGGGGCATGAAACTTGTAAAAGCAAGTATGCACATTCTTGTCTCAAAATGTGAAAAATCAAGAGATCTCCATGCTGATACATTAGAAAGGGGACTGCTTTTATGTTTGGCAAGACTGCGGATGGATGCAAAAATGGAGATCCTCAAAGGTGGAAACAGAGCGGAAAGAAAGACAATGTAATTCTATTGTATAATCTTTTACCTACTTCCATCAGTGTTTTGCATTATGACTAAGAAATTGATAAGTAAAGGTTTATTTGCTTTTTGGCATTATTTTTGCAATACAAAGTCCTTACAGTGTGTTCTTCCACTAGACGCTACTGAGACCAGCAATGGAAATGGATGGAAAAGAGTTGTCAACATCTCTGGGTATTCATCCCTTTGGGACGAGATCTCAGCACATCATAGAGTTCATTTCAGTTTATGAGGATTTAGAAACATAGTCAGTAGTTTCCTCTGGAATTCCTGAAAAAACTTTTGAAGAAGTTGTGGACAGTGAGGAGTCCTGAATCAACACCGTGTCAGGTTCTGGTATGGCTAATGTAGGAAAAGTCTTGGCGCTGGTCAGCACACACTGCTTTGTGGGCCAGTCTCCAAAAGATGACTGATACAGCAGAGCAAGGTGGTTCTGGACAGACTCACTCTTTTCTAGCAGCTGGCTAAAAGGAGACTCTCTCAGTTGTGCAGTTGTCGGGTCAAACCATGGGAAGGTTCTGAGGAGAGAAAACAATCTTCTATAGGCAATAACAGTCTTACTAATAATTTAACAAATATCAGTTTTCTTTAGAATCTGAATGCTAGCTTCTTTCTTTGGTTTTGGGAAACAATTATACTCCAAGACCTGAATCTGAAGTTCCAGTCATTATTGCACCATACAAAGCAAAGCTGAACATAATGATTGTAGGGAGCTCCTGAACCAATAGGGGCGTTTTCCCACAAGCAGAATGTCCTAACTTAACATACTCAATAATCTTGTCTGTGAGCTAAAGTAAGTTAATTACCCATAAGAAATCTTCTCCAAATATTCCCAGGGGATTTTGTTTTCTGCATCTGATAGCCCAGTCCTGGCCTGTGGCTTCAGACAATCCTGACCAGTAGACAGACAGGAACTGGGGACCAGGACAAAACAACCCAGTGATGACAGTCCAGGTCTTTTATTTCTAGCACACCTAAAGCAATCTTTCCTGGCAGGTATATTGTCCCTAAGAGCAAAACACATTTCAGCACCTTCCAACCCAGCAAGACAACTCTATGCTTCAGCTGTGGGATATGGCAAGTTTTAGAGTACAGAGAAAGCCTGGGAAAACAGTACCTCAGCATCCAACCCTTTACTTACTCCTCTTGAGTCATTGAAGAGGCAAAACTTTTGCTGACAAAACTCTCGCATGTAAACTGTGGGCAGGAAGCTTTCTGCTCTGCGCAGATATGGCAGTGTCCAGGGAAACAGAGGTCATTGAGCAATGCCAGTGCCTCCTGGTGAGGCAGGCTCTGCCACATGCTGCTGTTCAGGACTGCATAGAAAATGCCCACCAGCCATTTGCCATTGACTTTTATTTTCGCTGCACAACAAAGAAAATCAAATGTCAGTAACCACTGTGCACACAGGTGTGAAGAGAGATTCTCAGCCCACTCCTGTAAGCAATTGCATTAGCAATAAGAGCAAGCTTATCTGAAATCTGTTCTGGGATCATTTTAGGTGAGGGTGCTAAAATTAATATTCACTATCAAGTTTAACCAAAATGAGAGGTTGTACCTTGGGAGCTGAGGGGGCATGTTGCCTGCACAACAGCAAGGTCTTGCAGTGCCTCTGTGACCGACCCCTTTGTCCCCCACTCCTTTGTAGGCTCCTTGCCAGGGCACTGGTACTGTGGCCTCACGATGGCATTGTAGCAAAGGAGTTGCTTCAACCTGAAAGCAAAGGCAGCCCAAGGTGAGGAGGAGGGTGTCTATGCTCACCTTGCTTCAGAGCCCCGTCCAGGTCCTCCAGTGACCAACAGATGGGGAGTGGCTGAGTACGCTGACTAGGTTTGAAGCAATGTTGCAAGAAAATCATGAGATGCTGTAAGAGCTGTGCTCCCATGCCAGCACTATGCTGCATTTGCCCCGTGAGCTTCGGGATGAACGGTAGCATGACCAAGTGCGTTTTACCTGGGCAGAGGAACGGCAGTGACGAGGCTGTACACAATGCAGGGCTTCCGGATGGCTGGCCGAACTGCAGAGCAGATGGACAGCATGTGCGATGGCAGGCAGCAGAGGAACAGGACGTCTGCCCAGGCTGCCAGCTGCGCATTGTCGTAGAAGCAGGTGAGCCCTAGTTTCTGCAAGTCTGCTGCAGCAAGGCACACAGGGCTCAGAGCCCGTGGACCCAGCACTGGCAAAAGGCACCCCAGGGCCTAGCAAGGGGCTTGCCCTGCAGTGGTGGGACAAGTAGAGGGACGCTTCTGGTGAGCCGCCTTTGGATGGCCACGTAACAGCTTGGGGTCACAGTCACCCACCCAGCCCCTGACAAATGGTAAGGAGAGCTTCAAAAAGAGCAGTCAAATGAGTGTCTGTGTCTTTGGGGGGGAGGGAGGGGGGAGGGAATGCTAAACTTAAGTGGGCCCAAAACTGGCTAGTTTTGAAAGGAACAGGGTGGATGGTCTCCGCCACGCTCAGCTGGCACTGCTGAAGAAAAGCAGAAAATTGAACTCATGTTTGTACAGAGGGCTTCCAGCCAAATGAGGATCTTTTCCACAACAGCATGCTCTTCCTCCAAATAAAATTTGAAGTTTCTATACCTCCAATATGTATGGCAGGAAAACTTTCTCTACTGAATTCTTCCTGAAGGGCCATCAGAAGCACAGCAGAAGCCCAACCTGCTGCCTGGTCCAGCTGGGGAGCACTTACACAGGCTTTCAGGGCGCCGGGTAGAAATGCGGACACTGGAGCAAGGAGCCCGACCCACTGCCACCAGTGCTCGGGCCAGGTGATTCCCAAGACGGCCTCCACCAATAATGCCAACCTTCAGGCTGTGGCTATCTGCCAGAGAAGTCAGCAAGGTCTTCCCAGTGCTGCTCACCCTGGAGAAGCAGAGAAATTTTGTCAGCCCCTTGGAAGCCATGACTTCCCTGTGCCACATGCAGTCCTGCCCTTTTAGGACTTCCCCAGGTCATATATCTACATAGAGCATCCCAGACCCACCCCCTGCATCCCACCCTGGTCTCCCACAGTCTCCAGAATGACAGAGGTGATGGCTGCAGCCTGGAGTGTGCAGCAGCCATGGGGCTTGGGGCTGGACACCAAGGGGCATGGCGTCCACACTGCTCATGCTGGGGCTAACTGGCCCTCTGCTGGCCCAACAAATCAGGCAACCAAACCCCATGTGCCAGGAGGGACCCCACAAAGTATGTCTGCCTAGGGGAAAGCCACCACTACACTCCCAGGAGGAGGGGGATGAAAAGGGGCCCTGAGGTCAAGGACCAGCTGTTGTGATGCCCACGGCACTGTGAGCTGCTGCAAAGCAGCTTAGCAAATTAAGACCTGATACCCAGCATATCAAGCCCCATGGTGACACCAAGCTCAGGGAGAAGTCAACATGGGGAGCATGGCCCAGTGTCACAGGACTGCTGTTGAGTAGGGACATGGGACACCATGTGCTAACATAGGACTATTTGCTCATTATAAATCACATATACTGGTGGTGGAAACAAGTCACAAGCATGGAGAACCACCAAATTTCTGGGATGAAAACCCCTTTGGTAGTGGAGGCAATCTTCTTTCCTTGGTTTTCTCAGAGGGAAAACAGCCTAACTAAGGGGAAAATCCCTGAGTATTAAGACTGACTGCGATTTCAGACAAAGCTGGGTGTTGAGTAGCTGACAAGTGTGGGTGTAAATACTGGGTGACTTTTTACCCATCCAGAACCAGATAAAAAGCAATCAAACTATATCATTGCATACACATACCTATATAATCCTTAACTTCACAGAGAGCTGGCATGAGCCTTGCAAGAAGCTACCTACAGAGCCACTTCCCCAGCCACTTCCCCAGCTCTTCCAGTGACACACTATCCACTATCTGGTGCTACCTGGAACTACCCCAAGATGAGTGGTGGTGTACCTGTGCCACTTCTTAGCTCAGTATTGTGGTTTTATGATTTTTTGTTACTGGTGTTCCACATCATAACATTGTTCGGTGCACTGGGATTTAAAAGAGTTAATGCTCCGGTTCCGTTCATTGTCAATATTTCTGGATACCTGGTTCTCAAAAGAGAAGAACTATATCTCCCAGAAGACTTCCACTGTTCTGTTTTCCATTTAGAGGCAAAGATAAAACTGCACACAAGTCATCACAAGATTGCCCCTTTCTTTTACTGCTCATCTGCAACTTGTGCTCCCTTCAGTTTTTGGATGCTGTCTCTCTCATTTATTTGGATTATTAGCTTCAATCCCAATTAACATGTATTTCTGCTATTATAACTTGTAAATTAACTTTCCTCCTCAGATTGTTTTTTTTTTTTTTGTGTGTGTGTGTGTGTGTGTGTGTGCGCATTTAATACCCTTCCCTCTTTGCTTCAATTCCCCCCCTCCCCTTTCTGGGGGCTGTTGGGCCTGCTGTCCCCATCACGGACACAGATAGATCTAGAGATAATAACTCCACGACACTCAGTAACAATGCAACAGTTTAGAATGAGCTGGGTGCTGTGAGACCCCCTGATGACCACACCAGCCAGCCCGCACAAGGAGCTCACCTCCACCTTACCTGAAGGCCTGCAGAAGTCTGCAGAAGAAGACAGCATGGGCACACGCACTCACTGCCAGCCCCTTGCAGCGCCTTGTCAGATATAGCAGGGCCTCCTCTCCTTCTACTGCTTCAGCAGCCAAGAAGGACGCAAAAACCTCTTTAATATCCCCCATCTAAGCTCAGGACAGGCAGCAGCAGTGAGGATCTAGGAGAGGAGCATGGCCTCCATCTGTGCAGCACTGCAGTGCAACTCAGCACCTGCTGGATAGGAAAGGGAGACAGAGCACAAACTCCAGCTGCTCTCAGGACTCCTTGCAGACAAGGGACCTGTAAAATTGGTTGGTTCCCAAATGCAATGCAGCAATTGGGAACAAGTTGTTCCAGTAGGTGTCTGAGCCCACACATGCAGCATCCCATAGAGCCTGCAGCACTGTTCAGTGTACCAGAGATCTGCACAGAGATAAAGAACAGACTAAAACCCAAAAACCTTCAGCCGAGCTCTAGCCAGGGATGAGGATAACACATGCCTATCGTATCACACGTGGTTAGAGTCCTGACCTGCACCATCCACCACCCACACCCAGCCACCATTCCACCTCTGCGGGCGATCTGTCCCTCTTTGTGCTCCTGCTGCCATGGTGAGCACCTGGTTACCACTGCCCCATGGGACTCTCAGCCCTTCCTGGAAGCTGGGAGCATTCCTATAGCAGGGCTTAGGCTAGTAGGAGCTGCAGCAGGCTCTGCTTTTTCTGCAGGGTATGGCTGTGCCCTTAGGGCTAGCAGCTGGGCGAGCATGAAAAAACAAACCACAAGGGAGGGGGCTGAGCACCTTTGCATAGGCTCCTGCCTGTGGGAGGTCATGGGAAAGGGGTGCACCTCAGCTGGTGAGAGCAGATAAGTTGTATTTCCTTATTCTTTTTGCTTCCTTCCATTAAAATCTATCAATTATTTACTTTCATCATCTGGACTCGGCTGCCTAATAATAGATAAGTGCCAAAAGCACATAGGGTTTAAGACAGGTATTAAAGAAACACGCATCCCACTGAGGTTGTCCCCGAATCATCCACACCAGTGGGGCAGTACCTGCTACACTGTTAATACAGATGCAAGCTCTAGAATGAGCTGTAGCCACTTAGACTTAACTGCTTGCATAGAACCCACCCCCTCAAGCCAAAGGATGCATTTACTTGGAAATCCAATATGCGCAGGTCAGAAGCACTGCATTCTGTGCACCAAGCTCAGGGATCAGTAGGCACAGCCTGCTGTACTTTGCTCCTAACCTCCCACAGATGAGGTATCCAGGACACAAGCTTGGGGAACACAGGTGAGATTTATTCTTGGGCTTAACCATATTCCTGCAAGGGCCTGTTCAGCTTCACCTGCTGCTCCCTGACATTAACTCCAACTAGCAACAGCCCAGCAATTCCTGGGCTGGGGCACATGGATAAGCCTGGCAGAAAGCATTACCCTAACCAGCAGCATCCTGGCTGCATTCGAAAGAAAGGCACCAACAGGTCAAAGACAGTCCATCCTCTGCACCCAGAGTTCTGTGTCCCATTCTGGACACTTCAGTGCAGGAGAAGCATGAATATATTAGAGTCTAGCAAAGAGACTAAGGGGCTGTAGCATCTTCCATACGAGAGGATGAGAGCTAGGACTGCTCAGCTTGAAAAGGGGAGCATGGGGGAAGACTCATCAATGCATGTAGTTGATGGGAGGAAATGAATTAAGAGACTGAGATGCTCATTAATGGTGATAGAACGAGACACAGTGGGCTCAAACTGAAATGTGTGAGATTCTATACAAGCACAAAACTTTTTAATTTATTGTTTTAACAGTGAGGATGGTCAAATACAGGAACAGAATTAATTAGGCTGAGGAGCCAGTATCTCCAAATGTGAGACACTGAAAACCTATCTGGACAGTCCTGGTCCACCTGCTTCAGATGACCATACCTGAGCAGGGGGAAGGGACAAGAGGATCATGAAATCCCTTCCAACCTAAACATGCTTATGATTCTGCGGGGAAAACAAAACAAAACAAACAAACCCAAAACCAACAATAACAAAACAGGAAAAAAAAACCTAACAAAAGTGATCACAGAAACTGAGACTGCACAGTGCAGCAGGGATGCTGGAGCCCAAATTTGCCCTCAGACTTGTACATGGCTGTACGCAGCCTTCAGCTCTGTACGAGAACCTTCATGGCAGCAAATGGTCTTGAAACACAGAAATGAGTTAATCTGTACTGACAGCATGGAAAGTATGAAACAAGGTACTGCTGCAAGCAAGGCTTCTTCACAGTGATATTTCAAGATATGAGAAAACACCCTGCATACTCACTTTGAGGGAGGTGTGATAAATTGCTAAGGATCAGCACAGAGCAGCAAAGTGCATAATGTGGAAAGGAAATAAACAGCCTGAGGAGAAAGAGACAGCTTTATTTAAGGAACTGAAGAGAGGTCTGGAAGGATGAAGCCAGCAGTTGCCTGAGGAATTGTGTTTCTGAGAAAGTGCAATTCAATCCTTCCTGGGATCATCAGGTTTGTGCTAAGTGAGTGGTCCCCTTCTTGCTCTCCATCCAATGTAGCACAGCTCTGACCAGCTCCACACATCGTGCCCACTCTTTCCTGATGAAGGGATCTGCTGAGAGCTGCCAAGTGCCAGCATAGGGATACAGGCAGAGGCTGCTGCCCTGGCTCTCTGCAGGAGTTCATAAAACCTCTTTCCTGGTGTGAGCCACAACAAACCAAGAAAGACTTCAAAGTGCAGCTGACCCTTTCCCCCTTCACACTCTGATGCGGGAGGAACACAGTCCAGTAGGCCTTGTTCTCCACAGCCATGACTGGTGATGCCCAAGCCAGCCTGAATGTTACAGGGACTGGTCGGTCAGCATTGTCTACTGGAGACCCACGAATGACTGACCTGTTCCTCTTGCTAGAAAGAGCCCAGACACCACAATAAGCAAACACAACTTTGCCTGCTCCAGCAACTTCCCTCTGTAAACAAAAGCCATGACTGTCCCACACCAAGTCAAAGAGAATCAGATTCCAAAAAGAATCAACACTTGTGGATCAGTACCATGGTTTCACTGGCTGCATCAGAGCAGTTGTCTTCAACCTGCTTGAATGCCTCTGTCCCGCGAGCACCTAGTGTCACTGACAAACACTGATCATGCAATGATTAGTAACAGAGCTGCTCTGTTGGCACTGGACCAGCTTTTACAGTTTCCTTTTGTACTGGCAAGGCAACGTCCAAGCAGGTTACTTCACTGGTGCTCAGTTCTTCCACCGGATTTGCTAAAAGAAAGAACAAAGCATGACTAACATCAGGCTGACCACAGTTCCCCTGGGCCAAGTTAGCAAGACCCAGACCATGAAAAGGGCAACCGCAGCAAAAACCTGCTACTTTTATCAGCATCACCCTTCATTCTTACTCTGAATGTAACCCCAAACATAACATTAACTTCCCATCAGAGAGAAAAGAATGTAGGTGTCATGCCCTTACTGCACACCTAGCCTATGGCTGTCTTCAAAAAGTTTGTAGAAAAAGCAGGTGCTTCTTACCATGTTACTGAGTAGGCTGTTTATCTTCTCTTCTTCTGCAGAGCCCCGCTCCACCTTGCATTTATATGCCATCAGCTGGATGCGATCTTTTAGATCCCTGTATGTCTAGACAAACAACAAAACCAGCACCTACCTGAGTGATGAGGACACTTCATCAGTTAGGTGGTGTCAACCCCTCAACCTCCCCTCAAGTTCCAATCAATAACTTGGGTCTGCACAGTCCATTTGCACAAGCAGAGAGGCTTGGGCACAGCACATACTCTAGGAGTTGTGCTCCTGGCTCACTTGGCTTTCACTAAGAACAATATGCTGTTCCCAAGCCACCGGAATAAGAAAACTTCAAAAGGTGCATGACAGTAGAGTGACATGGGAAAGTTAGGGAGAAAAAGCAGGCTTTTGTCCCCTATCTTCATACAAACAGCAAAGACTTACATCAATCACAACATCATGGCACTTGTATTTGGTGGCAAGGTTCAACCGTGTTTCCACATCCTCTACTAAGCGCACATATTCCTGCAGCACCTGCAAGGGAAAGAAGACAGTTCCCTTTTGCAGGTATTTCTTGCCTCATTCTTTCACACCCACCGCAAAATCTTTCAAAGGCACTGGTTACACAGACTTGGTCCTTTCCATCCTAGGGCAACAAGTGGCCAGGACAAGTCTGCTAAGAACCCCAAAAAAGTAAGGCCATCCTCAGAAAGTCCCAAGCCCTGCACTGTCTCATCCCTATGGATCAGTTTAGCATCCTGATAGATGAAACATAAGGAAATTTAATGCAGCAAAAGCAGCTGGAAATACACTGTGGAAAGCGTGCTCTGCAGGCAGGTGACCTGGGAAATCGGTCATGGTCCAAACCTCAGTGAAGAGAAGGAGCACACAAGCAGCAGCTCTTTATTCACCTGGACAGGTGCATTGTTCCTCTGCAAGATCTCTACCACCCGGTGGAAGCCAATAGGTGCCTTCTTCTTGGTGTAGCCCAGCCAGTTCTGAAATGACAGCCAAACCCTGTGTTAATCCTAAAGGTCAATCTTTCCAGCCATTGCCAGAGGAGGCTGAAGTCAAAGAACATGGCTGCCACAGATTGAATCTGAAAGCAAGAACAGTTTTTCCCCAGTGAAGGAAATAACATCGCTCCTCGTGCCAGCCACCATATGTACTACTGGCAGAGCCCTTTATTCAGTGCCTAAGCTAAAGCTGGCTGCAAACCAACTGGTAACAGTGCATGAGAGCAGCCCCCTTCTCTGGCTCAATAGCTGCAGCCAATTCAGGCCCAGCAGAGCTCAGGGAAAAGAGGAACATGTAACACCCTGTACCAGAAATGCTGGGTCCTGCTGAAATAAACGAGTCTGTTTGGTAACCCAGAACAAGCCAGCTATTAGTAGATATCAGTACTTAGAACTGAGTCCCCAGTAAGGCTTTCCCCATCTCACCTTGGTAGTTAAGAGTGCATCCACATCCTCCCAGGCTCGTAGCTTGGCACGGGCAGCCAGGGCAGTCAGCACATACTGCTTATCAGGAATCTGCAAGGCAGAGAGCTGCACTCAGAGCACTAGCACAGCTTAGCAGGACTGTGTGGCATGGAGGAGAATGGTATCTGCCTCTATCTTGTCAAAACTCACAACAGCCAGGCAAGGAGGTGAGATACTGCCTGAGGTCATGGCCACTGAGCCGGAGGTGGGGATTTACAGGTGATGTTGCAGCTAGGTGGCCCCTGTTTTCAGTGTACCTTTCTGAGCTTCTGAAATGGCTCTAGTCAAGAAGAATGCAGTGTTCCCCACATTGCCCCAGCACAGACACCCTCAAGCTCCAAGCCAGTCCCCTTGCTAAACACAGTTTGGCTGCCTACATTTTCAGCTGGTGCTGCCACACCAGCCAGAAGCGCACATACCTTAAATGTCTTCTTCAGATTGCTTGGGCTGCTGAATGTACCCTAGAGAGAGCAAACAGTGATTGCAAACTAAGCAGAGGACACCAAGGAAGAGGCTCAGACGCTTTCAATTGCTCTTCTTTGCACATGATGAATGTCCCTGCTATTGAAGTCTTTAAGCTTTTTGCTCATGAAAGTGACAAAGGAGCAAAGAACTGACAGAAGAGAGCAATTAACCCACCCCATTAGCTCCCTGAAGCTCGTGCACTTTCAGCACTCCAGAGACCAATAGCCTTATATAATTGAGGGCTAATTCTGTCTGCTTGGAAGCTGCAACACAAGCCAGTGATTTCCTTCAGGAGGCAACTCCCTGACATGCCACTCCAGGTTGAATGTCCTGTCTTAAGGAAGAAATCTCCAAACTGGCCCTGGAAGGCCAAGGAGAGATAAATTCCTCTCAGTCTCTCTTACAGATGAAATCTGACCTCCCTCTCATTCTTTCCTTAACATGCCCAACTTAACCACTCCAAATATTGAGGGCTACAGGGATGAGACATAACCCTTGCCTTCTACGTTATCCTCACCTCAGCCTCTGTGTAGTGGTAAAAGCAGGAATAGAAGAGAGTGGTCACTAGTGGCATGTTGAGAATTGAGGCCTTGCGAGGGTATTTCCGAAATATCTCTGACTGCCCAGCCATCGCCAAGTGTTGATCATTGGCCTGAGGAAACAAAAAGATGTGAACATGAGTCAGGGCAGCTGCCTGATCTAGTTCTGAGTATACACCTGAGTAGAGTGTCATGAAAGCACAGCACCAGCACAGCCTCAACGCGCTCTCAAGCCTGAGGTCTGGTACTTCCCACATGGGCCTGGATCAGCAGCGTGGTTAGCAGTCAGACTACACTAGCCAGGCTGTTTAGATCCAGCATGGTATGAGCTACGGACAGATAGGGTTCTCATAGCTAGTCACCTTCTGACCAGCAAATCAAAGGTTTCATACCTCAATGATTATCTGTCTCTCCAGCAGGGTATAATGGTCTTGGATGTGGGACATATCCTCAGCTGAAAATGGCAGCCTGGCCATACATGCAGGAAGAAAACACTGTCAGCAGCTCTTAATCCAGTATACTTGGGAAGAATCACAGAATGGCTTGGGTTGGAAGGGACCTCAAGGATCATGAATCTCCAATGCCCCTGCCACATGCAGGGCCACCAACCTCCCCATTTAATACTACACCAGGCTGCCCAGGGACCCATCCAACCTGGCCTTGAACACCCCCAGGGACAGGGCACCCACCAACCTCTCTGGGCAGCTGCTCCAGCACCTCACCACTCTCTCTGTAAAGAATTGCCCCCTGACATCCAACCTAAATTTTCCCTCCCTTAACTCTGAACCATTTCCCCTTGTCCTGCTGTTATCCTTTCAAAGAGTTAATTCCCCTCCTGTTTGTAGGCTCCCTTTAGGTACTCAAAGGCTGCAGCGAGGTCACCCCACAACCTTCTTTTCTCCAGGTTGAACAAGGCCAGCTCCCTCAGCCTGTCTTCATAGGGGAGGTGCTCCAGTCCCCTGATCATCTTTGTGGCTCTCCTCTGGACCCTCCCCAACAGCTCCCTGTCTTTCTTGTACTGGGGACTGCAGACCTGGACACAGTACTCCAGATGGGGCCTCACAAGAGCAAGGGGAGAATCACCTCCCTGTCCCTGCTGGCCACCCCTACAATGCCTGTACCAATTTCCTTAAGTGCTCAGGCACCCAAGCTTTGCACCCTTCAGAATGTCTCTGAAGCATTTCTGGCCCCAAGTAAGCAGCAAAAGATGCTAGACTAGTGATCACTAATTCTTCCTCTCTGGTCTACATTATGTCCACAATACTGCACTGCCACTGAGGTAAAACCAGTATCAGTTCTGGGACTACCTAAGTGCAGTGCTTGGACAAGGATCTAATTGTCCTTATTACCAGCTTTTGTGAAGCATCCACATCTAAGTCCATCCTCCTGCATCTTTTCTTACCCAATGCAGCCCTTCAGAAATTCTCTCTTCTTTTCTACATCCTGGATGTTCAAATGCTCCCGGTACTGTGAGAGCTGGAGAGAGACGGAAAAAAAGCAGCCTGTTCTTATGGATTTGGGACATACAGGACCTCAGGGGGCAGAACAGGAATGCAAAGCTGCCATCTAAACAACCAGATACTACAGCCAGCCTCTTCCTGCCCTTCCCATGCTCTGCACTCCTTTGCCAAGGAGATGGAGCTTCTGCTCCAGGGAATACTCACAGCAACTTCCTCAGTCCTGTCTAGGAACCTGCAAAACAGAACAAGCAAGCATTAACTTGGAGGCAGGTTCCTAGCAAGGTGCTCAGCCCTGCCACATGGCTGGGCAAGCCCTCACCTGAGCAGATCCAGAAGCAGCTTCTGCTCACCCGTTTCTTTGAGGAAATGGATGAGATGACACAAGGCCACCTGCCGCACCTCCAGCTCTCGAAACAAGACCTCTGCAGGAAAAAGGAATATGGGGGTAAAGCAAGTTAACACGACCAAGACTGATGGGGCTAAATGTAGTGCATGGAACTGCAAGTCTTTTGTATGATTCAGCAGTATTAATCCAACTCAAAGCACATGCCTGGAGGCTTGAGCACAAGAGAAAATTGTTCTCTAGGCTGCAAAGAGGATTCATAGTAGAGAGTTACCCCTACAAATTAATTTTCATTTACCCTATATCCATCACTACTGACCAGTGCTCAAAGTTCCTCTTTGGGACTCCTCATATGCATCGCGAACCCCTTCCCACATGACACTTACCACAAAAATATTTCATGTTCAGCAAAGCAGTGATACTTCAGCTGCTGGCTCTATGACTTGCACCCAGTAGAAGAACTGGTCCCTTCATCCTTAACAGAAACATGCAATAGAAACCCTGACCCAGTCACACTTACCTCTCCTTAGTGTCCGTTTCAGAAATATCAGGACCTGTGAGCACAGAGATGCAGCTCTCAGCTGAACATAAGTGTCTTCACCAGAATTAAGACAGACAACAAACTGTCAAGCTTGGCCAAGACGCAGGGAAGCTTACGCAAAGGGTCTCTGAAGGCACAGCTCTTACAGCACTCAAGTGAATTCTGCTACCCATAAACATAGGAGAAGCAGTGAGTCAGGGCCACAGTTGCCAATTTCTCTGGAGCTTAGCTAAGTGAGATAGAGATTTACGAAGAAAAACCGTTCCCTGAAGGAGCCAAGGGTTTAGAAGACCTGGATCAGGGAAGTTCTGACACCGCAACTGCTGCCTGATGCTTTGGAAACCAGAAAAAACGGAGAGGCCCCTCAAATCTTCTATGCTGCAGTAAGCAGATTAAACCTTGGCCTTTGAGAAATTGCTGCAAAGAACAATTTCTGGCTGACTCAGTTGTTAGTGGTCAACATACATTCTGCAGACTGGCAGGAAAGCCAGCAGCAATACAGAACTTCTCAGCCATAGGCTTTGACAATTTTCAGTAACTTCTTGTTTTGAACTAAAGAACAACCCCAACCTAGCAAGATTAGGTTGCCAAGTGACTGTATTCACACAAACACCCTCTGTGTGGTCATCCAGAAAGTTTCAGAAGAGGACTCACAGCTGTGATGACATTTCCATCATGTCCCGCCACAGCTTCATCCAAGAGCACCAGCTTGTCCTGCAGGGAGCGAAACCTCTCTAGAGAACAGACCTGAAGATAAAAAGAGATTTAAGTAGCTATACAGACACCAGCAAGTCTCCAGGCTGAACTAAGTCCAAAACCCTGCAGGTCTCCTGAAGTGATCTCTGCATTGCCACTTGGCAAAGCAACAGACAGGCACAGCACACCATTCTGGACAGATGCTGTAAGCAACATGGATTCCCTTCCTGCTCCTGGAACAGCCAGATGCACAGGGGAGCATAAAGCAGTTTGGGAGCAGTTACTCTCCCTAGCAAGCAGATGAAAGAGGAATGCCCTTACCTTGCCCCTCTGCATTCGCCGGACTGTATCTCTGGGGCTCCAGTCATTGCTGTAATCCTGCCATAAGAGAAACGAAGAGCTCAGGAGGCCACTTTAGACAAGCATTCCCAAGTCATTTTCCTTTTGTACTGTATTAGTGATGGCCCCGGTGTAACTTCTCAGTCATTCGGATGCTCCAGGATGGTTAGCAGTACAGGTCCTCAGTCTTCTGGTGTAGGTGCTGGGCATTCAGAGTCTATACGCTGACTAGGGAGAAAGACTGAGGCTCAGAAGTTAACAGAAAATCTTTCTATTGCTTTGGTAAAAGGGCCATCATCACATCCTTTACAAGAAGTGCATTTCAAAAGATTGTCTTGCCTGCAAATAAAAGCTCCAGTGTTACTTAAAGAAGGACAAACAAAATACATGCAAAACTAAGAAATCCAGAACTGAGGCTAAAGGAATCACTTCCTTACTACAATTCAGACTTCTGGAGGGCCTTCCACAGCAGACTGGAAAACTCAACAGCTTTGGGCAAGTGCCTGGAGATTCCCACAGGACTAGTTAAGTGCAGTTACACTATCTTCAGGTAATATGCAACAGGTTCTGCAGTGCCCAAAACTCCTCCCCTTGAGCTTACAGACACTACAATCTGGAAGCATCATACAAAAGGCGGTATGAGCCCCTCCTTAGAACTCAAAATTCTAAGAATGCATTTACAATTTTGTGAGCCAGTGACTGTAATGCAGTCTTCTGCCTCAAAAGAGACAGAGAAAGGAAGCAACCAGAACAAACAATGAATTCGAATTAATCAAAAGCTTACTGAAAAACCAGATAGACAGTCTGTTATGTAGATGCAGTCCCTTCCCATATTAGGGGACCACTGCACATGAGTCTGAGAAGTTCCGAGCATAAAGGGCTCAGAACAGCTATTGGAAACACCCACAGAGTACTTTTATGTTCCACTAGTGAAATTCAATCCTGCTTGGGGTCTGTGTTAACATGTGTGGCCAGCTGTGCTACTAGCATGCTTACCTGTATCTGTTGGGAACTTGTACTCAGCTTTGTTACTGATTGAACCTGGGGACATGGAATTACAATTTCACATCTACTAGGTTGGGACAGGAGGAATTCACCCTGTCCCCAAATCCCTTAGATTCTGCAACACCTAACACTGCCTCTCTGGGAGAAGAACATTCCTAACAACTGGTACCTCACCTCTCTGCCCCTTGATCAGGGTGGGCATTACAGTGATTCATAACCTTTAGGTTTCATTTAAAAAGCCTAAGTGATGCCAATTCATCAGATCCAGAATTAAAGAGGTAATCGTTTCACAGAGACTGCTGGGCAAGAAGGAATAACTAATATCCCCCAACAAAATTCCTTATTTCTGGAAAGAAACAGAAAACACCTAAGTTACTATGAGGTTGACATTTCACAGCTCCCTTTTCTAACCCCTCCATTGTCTTCTGCCATCTGAAACAGTAATCAATCACTTTTTATGGAACCTTTAGAGCACTGTCACTTGAACTGCTCACCTTGTACTCAGCTTTTGGTCTGCGCAGTTCTGGGGCATAGTTTTTAACTCCTGTGTCAGCGAAGGCTGAAAGAAAAAAAAAAAAAAAAAAACAAAAACAGGACAAAACTGAGTAACACACCAAAATCCTGATTCACACCCACTTCCAAAACTGCCTTTTGTGGTAGAAGATGCAAAGTCAAGCATCAAATGGCAGTATAAAATTGCTCTAAACCCAAAGGCCGTCAGTATATAATCAGATTCCTTCAGACCATCACACCAACACTTGCTCTGGTTTGCTGAACAACTTTCAGACAACTGATTTCTGCAGTGCTATGAAAATGACACTGCTCTTTGTTGGAGATACTCTGGTTTACGTAAACCTCCCAAAGAGAGACAGGGATTCAAAACTTACCGTCTGAAAGGGACGGCAAACTTGGAAGTCTGTTTCGTCCTGCAATCAAAACAAATGTTATGAAAGACTCTTCACTGGCACATCTCTTGCAAAGGGAACACAAGTTCAGGCTGCAACCTGGTGAGCTGTCACTATGCCAGTGTAGCACGAGCCATTCTCATAAAGTGATTCATGCTGCTGGCATAGCTGGGCCTCACCTGCTTTGTAGTCTAAATCTTTGAATAGTCTGTGGCATCACAAACTATACTGCGTCTTAGCCCCATCTGTCTCCTCTTTGCCACAGCTAGGAGAGGTTAGAGAACCTTAATTTGCTCATCTACCTGCAAAGCAGAGGCTCCAGCATGCACTACTGCTTAGGCCACCGCAACACTGGCACTTTAGTTCACTAGGGCTGCAATTTTGATGCCTTTAGTTTTTCACAGTATTATCAAATACATTAGTAGAAAAACACCAGAAAGTGACAAAGTAAAAGCTGGCTCGCTGTCCTGTGAGGTAACAGAGCTGAACTCTTGCAAGCTGCTTAATTCCCCTCAGTGATCTGCTGCACAATCCCCGACCAGCAGCTATGCTACCACTGCTGCTACCAGGTGCCTTTTGAACCAACCAACAGCAGCCAGCTGAGCTCCAAGTAAAGGATAATCAAGCCATCTTCTCTATACTGCTGAGGGTCAAATGAGGCCTACAAGGGTCAAGCAAGTCCTTTTGTAGGCTGTTCTTGTCCATTATGAAAACAGACTGCAGTAATCAGGCAAGCTCTACCTTCCTATTCTTGTTAAGCTTGGTTCCACAGAAGCCAAAATCTTCAAATCCATGTTCCTTAATGAAAGAGCTGGGTACCTCTGCACAAGACAGGCACAGTCACCAATTTCTGACCAATGACAGATAACACTACCATAGAGAAAAATAATTAGAGCTTCCTTGTTTTGTTATACACTGAAATGATTTACGTAAGGTAACATAATTTCTCTTTGATACTCCTGAGGGAAAACCCATATGTGGCACCTTACCTTTAAACAAGCTGCTCAGGGAATAGGAGGAAACCTGCTTAGGAAGAGCAGCATAGGAGGAAGAGCCCTTCTGCAGACCAGTGTCTCGGCCCTCCAGGGAGCTGCTGCTGGAGGCTGTCTCTTTGATTGACCAGGAGATGCCTATGCATAGACAGAGGTAATTTAGAACAGAGAATGAGAAAACCACTCTGTAAATACAGATCTTGGGGCAGGGCATGAATATTACCAAGCGTGTCCTGGTCAGTTCTGCACTAGCACATCACCAAAGCTAGACTCCCAGCAAAGAATTTCAATCCCATGTCATATTACTTACTAAAGAGTTGCCTATTGCCCTCCAGCCAGAAATGGTTGCATTCAGCAGTGTTGTGCAGCTTATTATGGCTTATATTGGAGAGGGAGGGAAAAAACAAAAAAAAAGCATATCCCACCAAACATTTGTGTGTAATTGTACAGGGGTAAAGCACAATACAAAGGAACAAAACAAGACAAAGAATCCCTGTCTTACCTTGAATTACAGAAGCATTACAGCACACCTTCCTGGGCACTAGAAAGCTAAGATAAAGTTCCTCCCTACACAGACAAAACAGCTGTCAATGCACACATGCTGCTGACAGTGCATTTGTCTTCTTTCTGCTTGCAACACAGCTGTCACCTCTTTTTGCACAGCTACAGAACAATCAACTTTGGGGATGTGGTGGTGCAACTAAACAGATGATAGGTAAAGACTTCAGGTGGGAAAAGGGAAAAGGTCAGAACTGGTGGGAAGAGTTGCAACACAGGAGGAGAATAGGTTCCTTGAAGGCACTGTGGGTGACCCACATTTTAAGATCTCACTCTCTGAGAGTGGCTCACTGGCTGCCATTGTCTGCAGGTCATGAATTCCCAAAACCAGCAAAGCGCATCAGGTGTGGCTTGTGAACTCACATCCGTCACCCCTAGAAATACACTTACAGTGCTCTTTCAGACTTTAACCACAGGAGACAGCTTACCAACACACACTGAACCATGAAATGTCTTCTTAAAGCACTGCAGGGACAAAGCAGGGTGAACTTTAAATGGTGACAGACAGCGGTGTGAAAGAGAACTCTGCAGGTCAGCGGAGCCTGGTGCACGTGAGGCCATAACATCCAAAATATTTGCTCTAAGCTCTAAGATATACACGGGGGAACCAAAATGAACTCCATCCACTTGTCCCCACTCTATCTGTTTATACTATTTGGGCCTCGGCAGACCCACCCCCTGGGGACACCAGGAGCACACAGCTCAGCCTCGGGGGCTGACAGGGACAGGTGACGTGGGACAGCTTCAGTACGTGACGGGAGAGGCCGGCTGGCCAGACCCAGGGCCAGCCCGCGGCACCCCGCACTTACTTCCCACGGGCTCCCCGCTCCAGCTGACCTTCTCCAGATCGTCATCGTCATCATCAACGATGTCCCGAAGGCTGTTCACCGCCCGCTTAGATTCCTTCAGCTGCGGGAAGAAGACAGTTTGCTCACACACCAACGTGGGGACGCAGCCCCACAGCGCGGGGCGGGGGCTCGGCTCCCACCTGGGACAGCTCGTCATCCTCATCGTCGAAGGTGAAGGCCCGGAACTTGGAGCTGTGCCAGTACTCCTCCTCGTCCGCCCGCGCCCTGCTCATCTGCAACGGCGCCACGCGGCCTCAGCGCCGCTCCCGTCCCGTCCCGTCCCGTCCCGTCGCGCGCAGCCCCCCGCCGCCGCCACTCACCTCCCCGCGCTCCCCTCCCACCCCAGGCAGCGGCACAGCAGCGGCACAGCACCGGAGGAAGGGCGGCCGCCGCGCGGGGCACGCCGGGACGGGCAGTCTGCACGCCGCCTTCCGCCCGTTCCCGCGCCGCAGTGGGACTGCAAGTCCCGGCGTGCACTGCGCGGCTCCTGGCGCCGGGCTGCGACTCCCGGCTCTCAACGCGTGGCGGCGCGGGGTCGGGGCCTTTGCTGGCGGCCGCCCCGTGACTGCGGGGCTCGGTGCGACAGCGGGGCGGCTTCGGGAGCCGCGGGTCCGGGCCGGAGCGCCCGGCGGAACGGAGAAACTTGGGCGGGGGGGCGGGGGAAGCGCCGGAAGGGACCGTGCCGGTGCCGGAAGCCGGGAGGTGGCGCGGGGCCGGCGGTTCTAGCAGTTTCCACGGGCGGTCGGAGCGGCGGCGGCGGTCCCGATGGCCAAGTGGGGGGAGGGCGACCCGCGTTGGATCGTGGAGCAGCGGGCGGACGCCACCAACGTCAACAACTGGCACTGGTGAGCGGCCGCGCCGGGACGGCCGAGGGGCTGGGAGGGCCGGGGGGGCGGTCGGGGCCCGGCACGGGGCGTCACGGCGGCCGCTGTTCTCTTAGGACTGAGCGGGACGCGTCCAACTGGTCCACGGAGCGGCTGAAGGCCCTCCTCCTGCCCGTCAGGGTGGAGGGCGAGGAGGGGGCCTGCGAGGTAACCGAAGTGAGCAAGCTGGACGGGGAGGCCTCCATCAACAACCGCAAGGGAAAGCTCATCTTCTTCTACGAGTGGGCCATCAAGCTGGCCTGGACGGGTGAGTGGCGGCAGCTGCTGTTATTTCGAGGCCGGTTCGAGTGTGAGATGACGGATGCTTCCAAAGTGCTGCGCTGTGATGCCGTACGAGGCTGTGTGTAGAACGGGTGGAGTAGGAAGTGTTAATCTGAAGAAAACCATTATCGTTGCAGGCACCTCGACCACAGGAGTGAAATACAAAGGTTACGTGGAGATTCCTAATCTCTCAGATGAGAACGACGTTGATGAAGTGGAGGTAAGCCCAGCAGCAGGCCGGTACTGCTGGGTGCCCCTCTGGTTTAGGAGGAATCCAGAGAACACGAGTATCTCTTTTCCGTAGAAACTCTGAACATCAAAGATACAACATAACTTCAGCAGCCTCTGTCTGATGAATTTCAGTCTTCTAGTTGTACGGGATCCATAGGATATGAAAGTTCTTAGGTAGATGTGCATGTGAACATAGGCTGACGTAGGTGAAGTGAAAGACTTGAAAGCTGTGCTGCTGCATGTGAAGGCATGGCTAAAGTCCCTCTGTGATGTTGTATCAAGCACTAAAAGAATTGTGTGGGCATCAGTTTGTTAACTAGCACCTATCCTTCCTGTTTAGATCCTTGTCAGCCTTGCTAAAGATGAGCCTGACACTAACTTGAAGACCCTGATGAAGCAAGAAGGTGCAAAAAAAATCAGAGATGCAATAAAAACTTACATTAGCACTCTCAAAACAGGTATGTCAGAAGAAGAGATGTTATAAGACCTGTGCGGGTTAGTGTTGAATGTAAAGAGAGGAGGGAGTATGGGTTCCTCACCCTGTCTACTCAGGAAGTTGTCTGTGCAACAACAGTTATCTTTCTGTCTCTTGGAAGTAGTTAGCAGTTGCCAAGTACTGCTGCTATCTCTGGGCACTGTAGCACAATCCAGAAATGCTGTCTTCAGTGGTAATCCAACAACAGTGTGTCATGGCTTTCCTTTGTGTACTGAAGCTCAATAATAGAGGAAAACAAAGTCAGGAAGAGGAGTTTGTTACCCCACCAGTGTAGAATATCACCTACTACATGTGGTAGAATCTGGCCTTCATCTTGCTCTCTCCCTTCAAGATGGCATTTTCTCTTTTGCTACACTGCTAAAGACAGCTAATGCTATTTGGGTGCGAGAGCAACTGACAACCTGAAAATGCACTGTAGATTTTGCTGTTGTCAGTGAGTGAGCTGTCTCAGCATCTGGAACAAAACCTTTTTTTAGAATATAAGTGTGCTTTGGTTGAGTTCAGCTGTGCACTCTAGTATGGGGTGGAAACGTTAAGACTTCCTGTGATATCTGTTTTACTGTATTATGCCACAGGCATTTGTCATTCAAGGTCTGTTCAAACCACTGCTGGTTGCTGTTCTTGGCTCACGTTTCAGTATCCTTGGGTATTAAGTTCGTGTGCAAGTTGGAAGGTGGAGTCACATAGAAGAAGATGAGAATGCAGTTCAAAAAGATTCATATGATCTTGTGGGCTGGAATAAAGAATAGTTGGTGGGAAATAAAACTACAGCGTGCAAGATTATACAATTTCTAATAACGTTCTGATATATGATGGAATTTTGCCAATGTGAACAGATGAAGAGGAAGGAGTGAGCCAACTGTTCTATAATTGGTAAAGGCAGAAGTGATAGAGCTACATAAAAAGCAAACATGATGACAAAAGAGGCTTGCAACTTCTAGTGGAGCTGCGCAAGTACTGCTGGGCAGGGCACTGGTAGGACCTCCCCTGGATCCAAGGGTATGTTACCTTGTTGCATAAGACAATAAATTGAAGATGGAGTTGGAAGTAACTTGATTCTGTACTACAGTGATCTGAGAAAGGGACAGACAGTCTGGTCTGTAAAGGAATGAAAAGTATGATTGATTTAGATCAAGATAGAAGTATTTGAAATCTGGTTGCTATTTGTATTGAAGACAGAGAGAAAAAAATGTGAGTGCAAGGCAAGCCATGATGTGAAAGTAACAAGTGTAAGATGGTGTATGTTTGGGCTAGATATAGGAAGGAAGCTCCTAACTGTTTCTGTGGACAGGTTTTGTTATACCCTTTGATAGGGAGTAGTGGGTGCGACGTGAGACCTGTTTCCTTCTTATTTATTTTTACTTCTTTTAACTGGTTTCAAGATGTGGGTGCTAGCAAAAGCAGGGCAGAAACCAGGAAGGCCTTTTCAGCTGTGTGTTTCAGAGAACAGATAAAAGGCTTGCTTGATCTTTTATTAGTTTCATGAGCACATTTCTGTCTTTCCAGAATTCACCCAGGGCATGATATTGCCTACAGTGAATGGTGAACATATGGAAGCAGCACCTCAAGTGGCACCTAAAGCAAAAGACAGCAAGGTAAATAAAACCGCAAGTGTGCATTTGGAACTCTGACAGTGTGCACGGTGTATTGGATACCGGGGCTTACAAGAGCAGCTTCTGCTCATGGGATGTGTGCTTACTGACTAGCAGTCTCTAGTGCAGGCCTTTTGCTATTTGTGGCACATGATATTTCTTATTCAAGCAGATTAATGAATCTGCCTTTTGTACTCAAAGTATTGCATCTTTTCCCAAGGCCTTTGTTTTTTCCTTGGATACATGACTGCTTGTTGAGGTTTTGGAGAAAAAAAATGCGGGTGTGTTCCAGTTTTGTTTGTTGTTTTGCTAGACGACTGCTAGCACCAGTACTGCCACAGCACAGTCCAAGTCCATAGGAGTCAAGATCCCTACGTGTAAGATCAGCTTGAAGGACACGTTCTTAACATCTCCTGAGGAGCTCTACCGAGTGTTTGTTACTCAAGAGGTAACTCCAGGCTTGTTCTGAGAACTGCTCTTTACTGCACATAGGAGGTTGTTCCTAAGAAGCTTTTTAAGGCGTTTTGTTGGACACTCATAAACCATGAGAATGGAATAAGAAAGCTGGTCTGCAGAACAGTTGCTTAAAGCTCGTGTGTGCATTTCTTCACACAGTTGACAAGAGTGGATTAATGCCATCCAGAAGCCAGTTCCAGACAGCTGTCAGCACCTGTCTGTAGGTGTATCCCTTACTGCATGTGACCAGATCTCTTGGGATTTACATTTGCGTGCTTTTGGATTATTTTTTTGTTTGTTTGCTTTTTACTTTCAAGTTTAGGTATTATCAAACCCTAATTATGGAACAGATTCCTTTACATACTGTTATGTAAAATACATAGTAGCTTTGTATTGTTATTCAGAATCTTAGTTTTCAGTTCCCCTGCTTTTAAGAATGAAGTAAAGGTTTGTCTAAGGAACTCAACAAAGTTAATCAAATTGTAATTTAGAGAACAAGTGCATAGAACTCTCAGTGAAAGCTAGGGGTTCTTTTCCCTTGGTAAGTAAAATGCTGCTTTATCAGCTGTAGCCTTGCTTTTCTGGCCAGGGCAATGTTTTTGTCTTTCCTTGGTGAAGAACTTATTCTTGCCTCCTCTTCCAGAAGTTTTGTAGCTAGATGGGAGGTATTAGGCAATAATTTTGCAAGCAGATAATGACAAGTAACCCACGTCTCTTCCTGAATTCTTTTCAGATGGTCCAAGCTTTCACCCACGCACACGCAGCCCTGGAGGCTGATAAAGGAGGCAAGTTTCAGTTGCTGGATGGCAGTGTCACAGGAGAGTTTGTTGACCTAGTGAGTACTCATTAATGCAGCTGCGTCTTGCTTTGGGGCAGCTTTTGTTTTTGAAAAAGCAATTTTTCAATAGTCCTTCAATTTGCAAATCACAAATCCCTACCTGTTACCCGGTAGTTAATTGCTGTGCCTACTGAAGGGCTTCTTATAGCATGGGTCTGCCTACAGGACTTGGGTCTGGGGAAAAAAGCTGTTATCTAGTCCTGCATCTGTCCTGTGTTTGTGCGATTTTAATTATTTGTTGAGGGTGGGAAAGGTGTTAATTGTAGTAAGTGACCCTTTTCATCTTTACCCCTCCTATCATTTTATTCTTGTGGGGCTAAATTCCTTATCTGCTTCAGCCTGGCCTACCTTCTTGGAAGATGAGTGGAAAGAAAAGGCCACTTAAAATCAGGCTGTGGTGTTTTCAGGAGTCTCTTAAAGACTTCACATCAAGCACAGTTATAGTTGTTTTAAATCAGACTGCAGAATTTGGGGGGGGGAAAAGGGGGGGAAATTATTCTCAGTCTCTCTTTGTTTTTAAGGTCCCTGAGAAGCAACTTGTTATGAAATGGAGATTTAAGTCTTGGCCAGCTGGTAAGTTGTCCAAATTGGTTTATGGTATTACAGCTCTAGCTTGTGTTTGAAGAATTCCAGCCTTGCTTGCCACACTTCACTCTGGGGAATCACCAGGGTGTCTTAGCCAGGCTCATGTCCTACACAGTCAAGTCACAGTCATGAGCTACCCCAAGGCAGCAGCTAGGGATTAGGAATGATGAAGTAGCAGTTTCAGCTTGGTTGGCTGTGGCTGCTTTGAACCCCATGAAAACAGAACTGTCTCCAACCTGTCTTTGTAAGGAGGGCCTGCAGCAATCATAAATAGATCCTTCTTGGAAGGATCCTGAGAAGTCTTTTTAAGTGGTGCTCTGTGAGAGAAGGAGCTCCTCAGGATATTCGGAATTGTACTGCACTTGCTGACAGGTTTGTTTTGTTTCCTCTAGGGCACTTTGCAACAATTACCTTGAATTTCACTGACAAAGGTGGTGAGACAGAGGTGTGCTTGGAAGGCAAGGGAATTCCTGCCAGTGAGGAGGAGAGAACAAAGCAAGGCTGGCAGCGCTACTACTTTGAGGGCATTAAACAGACATTTGGCTATGGTGCCCGCTTGTTTTAATAATGGTTGTTGGAAAGACAATGCCTGAAGACTCTGCCACGTGGACTGATACATTTCTCACCTCTCCCTTTCTAATCTTGGCCCTGCTGCTGGGTAGAGTGGGATGATAGGTGATGAGGAAAGCCATTGAGCAGCACCACTTTCAGTCCCTCACTGCTTCATGCATGTCTCGTGCTGCAGGGGATTCTCTTACATGTACATACTTCTATTGCTAAATAAACCTAACTTAAAAAAAAAAACACCGCGTACTTGTGTCCTCAGATGGGCTTAAGTTCAAAGGTTTAGTGGCCAGACTGAGGGAGGGATCCGTCTGGAAATACACTGATCAATGAGGATTGTTGATCCCAATGTGATTTACTTCTCATTTCTGGATGCACAGAGGGCATGAGCTTGGTGCAGTTTTTAGTTTGAGCAGCTGCTTGTTTTCTTTCTGCTTTTGATCTGCTAATAAATGTTTCAAACCCTTGCCATTTTTGAAGGGATCTAAGATCCTGTCAAAGCCATGCCTCTCCTCCCTTGCATATCCCTCTCTTTACATAATCCTTTCATGTACTTACACCAGCCTCTACTATAGGAATGCCAATCATTTAGTCACCCAGTGTCCAAGAAAATCAGCAGACCACTGCTGGGGAAACTCCCACCTAAAAGATGGTTCTAGCAAGGGTCAGCTACTTCCAAGAGCTTCAGGCCAAAACAAACTTAGTGTCTCAGTGGGGGTGGATTTATTCCCCTAAAATAAACAAGGTGCAATTCTTTTGGCTGACCCCACTTCAGCTGTTGCTTCTGTGGGGGGGAGGAAGAGAAAACTGCTGGCTTGTTCTCTTCTGCTGGTAGTGTCTTCTGAAGTGCATAACCAGGTCTTGGGAAAAGGGAGATGAATTCTGCTTGGAAGTGTCAATGTAAAATCAGTAGGGTGACTTTTTCTTGCATTATCCTGAAGTGATTATTTATGGTATAGTGCTTAGGAATATCAAGAGTGTGGTAGGAATTTTATATGACTGAAAAGGAAGTTGTAGGAAGGACCAATCACTTGTACATAGGGTAAGACTTCCCTGCATCCATGTTCCCTCACTGTACTCTTCAAGGTCATCTGGCTGAGAAAGGTGCTGGAAGTATTTTCCTGGGATTCATGTGCATGGGTGAGCTACTGTAAGTGTCTTGCAGGATGCAGGAGGCTGACATTGTATACATGCACTGATGTTACTGCACAGCATGTGTTTGTTTTTAGACAATCCTGGGCTGAAACATGGGAAATGTGAAACCTCTGTGAACATACTAGCCCAGATAAGATGAGAGCTTTGATAAGAGAAGAGCCAAATTTTTTGAAAATGGAAGATAAGCTCATTCTGAGTTAACTTGAACCAACCCAACACCTGAACTGTGCTGTACTGGCAGTGCTTGGCCTGCTGACCACGCTGTGGCAGCAGTGCTGCTGTCTGCGTAGCCTCACTGGCACAGCTGAGCAAGGGCCGCAGAAGGCAGGCTGAGCTAATCACCTGCTGCTGGAAAACTAGGAAGTGGAACAGGAAGGCAGCTGAACTGGAATTTTAATTGCCTTCCTTTCATCACAAACTTTGGGCATCCTGCTGCTACTCTGAATAGGACACGCTTTGGCCTCAGCCAGCAGCCTGTGAGCAAGAGGCTCTCAGGCTCTGGGTTTCGCTCAAAGGCTGCCTGAGGGCATGTCATACAGCCGTAAGTTATGCCAGTGCTGCCCCAGCTGGCTCCATGCCCCTTGTGCTGGCAACCCCCACGGGACAGGTAGCCAGGCTGGGGCTGCTCTTCACAATATAGTGCATGAAATTCATCCACTCCTGAAGGAAAATTGGTGCTAAAATGCCAGGCTCGGAGCTAGCACTTAGGCCAAGAGACAAAAGGTATCAGGATATACTTACTGTGATGGGGCATAGTAGTGGCAATGCCTTACAGTACTGCTGTGGAGCCTCACTTTACTTCATGTTGGTCAAAGTCTGCCTGTTCTCAGCAAAGCATCCACCTGTCCATCTAAAGGTGACATCTGGTGCAGCCATACAGATGCTAATGAGGTGCCCCAGACCTTTGCTTTGCTTGGAAGCATTAGGAGATCTGGACACAGTTTGCAGACCCTCAGCTATTTGGGGAGGGAGAGGTATGTAAGATGAGAAAGAAAAGCAACTTCATATTCCTGTGCCAAGACGGTCTTCAAGAATCTCAAATGACACAAGCTAAGAGGGAAAGGCTTGTGAATGAAAAAAAAAATCCAACAACAAAAAACAATAGTGAAACAACCAGAAAACGTAACTAAGCAGTGAATTTTTCACAGCAATGAGACATCAGAGATAGATGTTAAAGTTTAGAGTTTAAAATATTCTTGACAAAATTGAAAAGCGATTCAGGAGAAAACACATGCGCATTTGACCTTATTGAATTGCAAAGCTTTGCACTGGGGCAGGAACAACCAGTAACACGCATACACAGGGAAATGACAGGCTTGGAACACATTTGTGAAAGACATTTAAGATAGGTGGGTTATAGTGAATTCTCAAATGAAAATAAATTTCAATAATGACAAAAGAGGAAAAAAAGCTGCCCAAGCAGGTCTGTGGGCTCTGTGAAGAAATCTTTCCATAGAGCATTAAGATAGCTCCAGCTCCACAGCTTTGTTCTGAGCCTGCACATATCAAGACAGACGTAGCTTACATGGAGAAAGTCCAGCGGTGGGCAACAAGAATGAGTGCAGCTTCTGAGGAAAACCTGACAGACAGCATTTGTTTAGTCTGGAGATGAGAAGATAGAGGAGCGAGGCAGGGAAAGAGGGATTGCAGTGATAAAAGTCTGCAAATATGTGAGAAGTAGGAGCAAATAAGGAAATAATATGCTCTCTGTGACCACTGCAGATAAGATGCACCAGGCTTAAAACCTAAAGGATTTAGGTTGGCTGCTAGGAAAATGTGAGAACAGTAAATCTGAGGAATACAGCGACCTCTCCATCTCTGGAGAGTTTTAAGACCAGGAGAGAGGGCCCATTGGTGAGAGATGATTTACCCACATCCCCATGGCAGAGCCATGTGATTTTAGGAGGTCCCATAATAATCCATTATCTGTGATCCACCACTCCAGGTGCAAAGGCCTTTCTCCTGCCACATCAGAGGCCCTATGGTGGTCCCACAAATGCTGCTCAGCTCCCAGAGCCAGTGCCTGCAGGACAGCCCAGCAGGGTCTGCTGGAGTAGGGTGTGCTGCTGGGGATCAGACCACCTGGGGGACTTTGTGTGGGGCCTGGCAAGGTTGGGCTGTGGTCCCTACTGTGAGGCCCCATGCTGGGTTAGGAGAATAGCTGACATACCTTCAACAAAGCAGGGGCCAGGCCCTGCCAGCTGGGCTCATCTCCGGCACTTCTGAGGGGCAGCTGGATGCTGCCTGGCAGGGGAAGAAGGGCAAGAAATTCTTTTCCCGATTGTGAACATGGGGGCCCATCCACTGTGGCATGATGTGTTGCTACAGTGACGTCCCATTGCAGGCTAGAATGCTTGATTTCTGCCTGGAAGGGTGTTCTTTCCATCTCCAAAGGCTCAGGTTTAAGTCAACGCCCAAGGATTATCATCACAACCAACTTTGCTGTGTTCCAGGCAAAGGCCAGACCTTGTGCCCCAGACTGCTCCACTCCACTGCACATTGGGTGTCAGGGAAGTGGTGTGGCTGAGCCACACACAGAGCTGCCAAACTGGGTTGGGACAACTCACCAGGCTGAGAAGTGGTATGTGTAGAGCAGCAGGCAAAAACACAACTTGAAACTGCTGCAGACTGTGGTCTCAGTCAGCATCTCCAATTCTGGTGCTCCCTTTCCTCTCCTGCAGAGCTAGGGCAGTAATTCGTCCTGTTTCACCTCCTGTTCCTGTAAGATTTCTGTAAGAGAGTTTTGGAGCAAGGCCCAGTAACACAGGGACCTCCCCTGATGAATAAATGCATGTTGTATGAGCAGTAACTTCTGATTCCAGGAGCAGAGTGACTTTTTGCTGTTTTCCTGAGAGCCAAGCTCACCCTGCTACCCCAAGTCAGGCTGCAGGCAACGGTGGTTTTGATGCAAAGGAGACCAATGGGAGCTTGGTGTGTTGGAGCATCCTTTGCCTGGTGGAACAGCCTGCAGCCCCCAGGCAGGGGCCAACAATGGCGCCAGGCAGCTGCAGAGCAGAGCCACCTACTGCTGTCCCAGATAGACTTTGACAGGTGCACAGCCAGCACAAGGCAAAAGGGGTAAGAGAGGGGGAGGGTAAACAGCTGGAAATAACAGGAGATTGCTTAGAAGTGGTCACAATTTAAGCAGCAAATTAACAGCCACAAAAAGCTGTGATCCTTAGAAAGCTTTGCTAATCCTTCTGCTATCATTAGCTTTTGGCTGAGAAGCTTGTTTACCAAATCAGTTTTCCAGCTGGGAAGATGCTGTGTTTTTCTCATCTGCTCTCATGCACACACCTGTTATTAGCAGGGTGCTCCTGTAAGGTCTGAGTATGTAATAAAACTTGGCATCAGGGCTGAAGCACAGGCAGTGCACCTCTAAACAGCCCCCAGTGATCTTGTAGGAGATTTCCATCATTTTGTGCAGAATTTCAATTCCTGTAGCCCTCCCCTGGGCATCCCTTGGCTTCCCATTCCATGTTCTTGTCCTTCTTTGTTATTGCTGTTAGTTGAACCTCATCAATATCTTACAGCTCTTTGGTACTCGAGGCATGACAGAGAAAGGCCGTGTCCCACCAAGATCTGCCATTAGCCAAGCCAGGAGATGGGGAAGGAGAGGTAAACACAAATACACGCAAAAGTGACAGAAGTGGGGGACACACATGGACAATGTCTCTCTCTACAGTCATTTTACACCCATGCACATACACATCCCCTGTCTACCAGCATCACCCACCCCTGCTTTTCAGCTACCACAACTGTCACTCACAATCCATACGAAGGAACCATGTACATGTTGGGGATGGACAAAGCTTGGAAAGAACATGAGACCTGAGCCTTCTGCACCATTACAATTGCACAATTCAAGCTGCCAGGATTTGAATCACAATTATAAGAGAAATCCAAAGTACCCTGGTTTGCATCCTTCTGCCTTGTCACCTTCTGATTGGAAATGGCGTCAGGAAAATCAGACTCCTTTGAGCATTTGTGATCAACTGCTGCTCACAACATTCAGAAGCATCTGCATGCACTTCTGCTACTGAAACGTGCTCGACATCACCACATGCATATGATAAGAAAGCAAAGCCAGGCTCCTGCAGCACAGCAGTGAAGGGACCTGAGGCACTCAGCACTCAGTGCAGCATCATCCTGCACAGACAGAACAAAAGGTTCTAACAGTGTATGCTTCAGTCCCAACTGAATGACATCAGCAACACACACATACATAAAGTGCTTTATTGCAGTGTCAGAATAAAGAATTCTCTATGAAATTTTGTAGAAATAAATCTCATATATATTATATATTAAAAAAAAAGCCAACACAAATAAACTTATAGAGTGGAGGGTAAGAGATTCATCACTTAAATAGCAGTGGGATGGACAGAATCTTTGATGGCACGTAAAAATAAATGCTTGCTCAGTGTCTACTTTTCTTATGGTGCACTGCAAAGCCTCCTGGTGTGCAAGGTGCGAGGGAGGAACATCAGTGTTTCATTTTTCCTGCTCCAGTTCATGCCTGTAACCTTCCAATCCACAGGGGCAGCCAGGCAGAACAGCCACTTGGCTTTCAATCAGATTTTTGTAGGGGCCGAATGCAATAAGTGTTTCTACTTGCCCTTGGATGGTAACTGCATTTACTGCAGAAATTACAGTTTCTTTCTGGGGGGGGTTAGACTGGTGGATATCCCCAGTATAACCATGGGAGTGGGCAATACCTGGGTAACAGCCCTCACTAGGGCTGCTGCCTTGGAGACCAGTGAAATAAACTGGCTGAGTTACCAAAAGTCTCTTTCTAGATAACTATTTGCAGAGGTCTCCCTTCCATGCACAGGTCCAATACTGTCCATGAGGAACATGTGGTTGTTCGTATTAGTTAAAGATGTCTTATGGGAATTAAATTGCTCTGAAACAGAAGGCACAAAGCTCATTCTTCCACAGCTCAGCACTCAATTTATTTGCTTCCAGTACTAATGCTTCCATATCTGTCAGTGCACATATCTCAGGCTCCCAGAACCAAAATGCCAGATCACTGTCATCCCCTCTGGACCATCTCCTTATGAATTACCTCTTCATAGGAAGCTAGGGAGCAAACAACCACTTCAGCTAGGGAGCATGCAGTAGTGATTTACTATGGTCTGTATTTCCATCCATGCTTGTTGGCTGCATTTTTCTCCTTACTCTTTATGTAATGCCTGACACCTTAAGACTGCATGCCCTTTGGAAAATGGACTGCACCTACCTATATTTTGGTAGCACCTACAACTGGGGTCTGTGGATCTAAGTGTGAAAAAACAGTTAAATAATTCAGCAATAACCTCACTAGTATTTTCATTTTACCAGCAATGAAGTTCTATTTACTGATGTCTATGGATGCAATATTCCACTAGTAACTGAAGCAAGAGGATCAACAGATACTCAGCTTATAATCCTAGATAGTCCTAGAAAGACTGTCCAAAGAGCTATCTGACTATGGATGTTTACTCATCCTGGAGAAGGCTCTTGGGATTAGGACAGAACTAGCACAGGATGGCCAATTCAAGGCCAGCAGAACCTAGACAGACATCTTTTGGTCTGACAGTGTTCTGCAAAAGAACAAGGAGTAACCAACTACCCTAGTTGAAATCTCTCTTCAGAAATTACTCCAGTCTTCTTCGTGTTTGCTTGAATTGCTCTTTTATTTCCTCTGATGCAAAAGATTTGCTAAATGAAAGTTGAGAACAGTTTCAGCCAGTTTCAACTACTAAAGAAATCAAGGTGCTCAGCCTAACTTTCCTGTGTGAAGTTCAGGAGCTCTGGAATTCCCAAAAACATGATGGAAGACACTGACAAGAATCTGTGTAAGACTATAAAAAAAACCAACAAAACAACAGGCAAGACCAAAGTGGCCATGGGGAGTGTCGTGATTTGCAGACACCATGTATTGACACTACTAGCATGTTTCTTCCTCAACTGGAACAATGTCTGCTTGTTCAGCAAAGCAGCAAGCCCCAAAAGTAGCAGGGTGCAACCAGGACATGCTTCTCTTGGTTGCCTCTTGGTGAGGGTCTAGGCAAACACCACACAGAGAATGCATTCAGAAGGACAAGAGATGAGCAGCAAACTCAAGAAAGGGCAAAGTCACATGCTACCAGTGGTGATTTATCCTCATCACCACAAAGAACTCGGCTCAGAACTTTTTGCTCCTCTTCCAGTAACAGCACCAAGTGGTGGCTTGGCTGCTGTGGGTAGGAAATGTAGGACTTTCTATGCCGGGCCATATTAAACTGGCTTCCAAGCACTGAAGCCTGCTGGGGAGCCACCAGGAATCTGAGACAGAGCAGGGCTGGTGATAGAACTTGCACAGGGGCAGACAGCTTACTCTCCTAAGCACTGAGGTAGAGAGGCTGCAACGCAGACCTGTATGGTTCTCCTGTGAAGAACTATTTCAAAGGTCCACCTCTCTAACACTTTGGCACTGAGTGCTCCCTTTAGCAGCTAAAACCAGATAAGATGATCTTGCCACAGAAGCCTATGTGGCCATTCATTGCCCTGCCCCACATACGCTCACTAATCCACAAAACCTTGTTAAGTCTCCACCTTTTCCTTCCCAATTGTGAATGCAAATAGCCAAGGAGAGGGGAGGCTCCATTCCACATACAGTGCTGGGTCAGCCCTGTCCCTTTACGAAGCATGATCCCCTCTTGTAGAAGAGGCCAGCACGTGCCAGGGCAGGCACACCAACAGAACCAGACAGCCCTGCCTGCATCCAGCCAGCTCTTCAGATGCAGCATGACACCAATGGGAACTGAGGCCACTCCACACTGCAGGTGCTCACTCATAGCTTGCATTGCAAGACCATGGAGGAGACCCTAGAAAAAGTACAAGGGAGCAGACCCTTTTCCCCTGACACTAGCCCCTGCCTCTCATCCCCTGCACCCCAGCTCTGCACTGCCCAAAAATGAGCAGGGCTGGGGGCCTGCCCCAAGTGGCACAGCTGGGGTGACACAGTGACAAACTCCTGCACCCTCACAAACCTGCTGGGAGCTGAGATGCCCCACTGAGGCAATGAGACCCTGCTCCACTTGGCCCCACGAGAAGCCCATCAAGAGGGCTGGAGCTCAGCTGCACCTTAAGGGAGGGTAACACGAGGGATGGCTCCAGCCCTTGCAGCATGGGTCAGGGCAGGATCTGTCAGCGGCCAGATGCGTGGTGGCCCCATGTCTCCTCTCAGCATGGCTGTGGCTAGTATTCCTTGGCCTCCTGCAGCTGGGAGAGGTACTCCTCCTCAGCTGGGTTGTCTGCACACTGCTGCCCATTGTTGGGTGGTCGCACAGCATGGTAACGGCTCCAGTCGCCCTTGCAGAGGATCCAGGGCAACATGTCCACCTTGTAGTGCAGCTCTGGGGAGAACTCAGTGCTGATGAGGTTGGGGACGCCAGCACCCTTCCCCCGGGTGATGAGGCGAGTGTGCTCATCGTAGCAGCAGTGCTGGGCCGCCAGCGTCGTGCTGTCAAGGGAGAGCATGGAGCGCAGGCAGAAGCGTGCTGTAGGCTTGTAGATGTCCAGGCGCTCTTTGGGGCCACTGGCATCCCGCCAGCGGAAGCTCTTGCCCTGTCGCTCATCCCGCAGGTTGACAGCACTGTAAACAGCCTCCAGGGGATAGGAGCAGGGACAGCTGGGCAGATCCGTCAGCACCTTGCTGAGGTACTTGGTGAGGAAGTCACTCTTGCAGTTCAGCCACTTCTCACAGCTGTCCACATCTAGGAGAGAGGCAGAAAAAGGGTGAGGCCACAAGCACCCCTCCTTGCCCTGCCACTGCTCATCCGCAGCCTTGCCAGCTCCACCAGGAGACTCCACAAAACTTGGCAGAAGCCACCAGGCTTCTTGGAGGGGAAGGACAGCAGCATCCCGCCATGGCAGAGCTGCAGGAGGGTAGGCTGCAGGCTGGCTTCAACCACTGCAAGCCATGGAGTAGGACCGCTTTCATCGTATCCTTCATGGCTGTGGGAGTCACTGGATGTCCCAGCACTGCTGGCAATAAAACATAGCTAAGCCTGCACATGGCAATGAAAGGAGCAAGGTTTGGATACAGACCAGGGAGCCTCTAGGACAGTCCTCCCCGCCAGCTGCATCTTCCCACGGGGTTTTGTATGAAAGCACCTAGGCCCCCAGCACAAGGACGAGGCAGAAGCTGACCTGAGTTGAATAGCTCTGTGGTGTTGTCACTTCTGAAAGGAGTCTCCTCTGTAGGGAAGACTATTTCTCCCTCTGCTCCTTGAGAAGGGAAAAAAAAAAAACAACAAAGAATCACAGAATGGCTTAGACTGGTAGGGACATTAAAGATCATCTAGTTCTAACCCCCTGCTGTAGGCAAGGTTGCCATCCACTAGATCAGGCTGCCCTCGATCCCATCCAACCTTGCCTTGAACACTTCCAGAGATGAAGCATCCAGAAAAGGAAGGCAGGCTTTTTTTCCTCCCTAAGGGCACCTCTCCCTCCACTGCTTTGGTGACAGGGCCCTGTGCCTGTAGGAGGAAGACATGCAAGACTAACTGGCCATAAGGGCATAGACACAGGGATTATGCAAATCTCAGTGCATGGAGATGGCTCTCTGTAAACCTTGGGACTGGATTTCAGGCTCCCTGCGAGACAGGTGTGAGGCGTTACACAAGGAGCTGGGGTTTCAATCCACCATCCCTGCACTTTACACAACTGCCTGTGGCACCATGAAGCCCCACCAGAGCTTCTTCATGGAAATAAGCACCCACATTCATTATTCCAGATCATATCCAACTTAGCTAGCTCTTGAACCACGAGCAGTCCTTTGGATAAGAGGGATTTGGCACTTCAAACTCAAGAGGGCAGCCAAAACTGGGGCCTGCACATGGATTTGAGGAACAAGGGTCCCCTTGCTGACCTGATAGCTAGGAGTGTCCCTGCCTTGAGAGCAGACTGCTCCCTGTGCCCTTTTCCCTCCCTCCCCATGTTGGCAGCAGGTCCAGCCTGCTGAGCAATAGCAGTGGGGGGATCAGCCTCTGCTGGGGCGGAACAGTGTCCCAACAGTGCTTGAACACCAGGATGGCCAAAAACTCACCAGGGCAGCGTGGCAGGTCACAGGTTCTTGACTCTGTTGCTGTGCAGGCATAGCCACAGGACCGCGTTCTCTTCTGGCTGCCACTGCCACAAGTGATGCTGCAAGGAGACCAAGGGCTCCATTCCTCCTCATCTTCATAGTCTGCATGTGGCACAGGATAGGCAGAGAGGGATGAATCTTGCAGAAAGCCTCAGCAGGAAGGAACCAGCAGCCACCCCAGATATTTCTTAGCTCTGCCCTGT